TAAAAAGACGCAGGATTGACTTTTTTTCGGTTAAAGTGGTGTGCAATGTATCGGATATTTCGTTTGCTCAGAGAGTTGTTATGGTTCACTGTAAATAAAGTATTTCAATAGCGTGGATGATACTTCAAAAACTAGCTCAAATTTCCGCAAAATCTGTCCGGCGGAATTATACGGTCATTTTATTTTCCGAAATGCGCGGAGGGATTTCTAGCCTAGGGCCTAGGTTTTTTGCCGGAGGAGGCCCAGGCTAGGCCGAATCTGTTGGAGCAGATGGAGTCGCGAGCACCAGGGTGAAATGAAATGTTGGTCTCTGGCCAGGAAGGGCCTATACCCAATTTCCCGAGTAGAAGGCGACAAGTATAAATTTTACAGCTGGGACACTTGCTTGAAAAATGATCAAATGTCAAGGATCTGTCTAGGCCTATGTGTGTTATAAAACATAATGAATGTTTTGTATTCGTGCAATGGAAAGAATATGTTCATTCATTGAAAGACTGACTTCCATTCAAATTGGCTTCGCCTCGTTGAATGAGACAGACAATCTTTCAACACATGAAAATGTTCTTCCCATTGCACTCATAAACATTCATTATTTGTATAATAATAACCTTATAATCACCTTTATAAATATTGTTGGAATTAACTTTCTTTATAGGCTACCATCTCTATCTTAGTTTTCATATAAAAAAGGAAAATTTGTTCGGTTTTTTAAAATTTCTGTTATTTTTTCTTCGATCTTACATTCGCTTTGGTGGAGCATAGAGATTATAGTATATAATAATATAATATAGGCCTATAATAGATGTATCTATTGTCAATGGTTGGATTCGATACCTTGCTTGTAACAATACGAACGTTTTCCTTTGTGTGTGTGGTGGGAAGGATGGGTACTCATGTCTCAATTTATTTAAAATGTGTTTTTCCACCTTGATATCAAAGAAAATTTATTGTCGACAATACAACGAGATACAGTCAAACTTTGCGTCCAGAAGCACAGTGGATTAGTAAATATAACATGATAAATTAGTTTAAACAATAGAACATAAAGAACAACGGTAATAAAATTTATATAAATATTAACCAGACGATTTAAAAAGAAAGACCAATTATTGCAGAAAAATTGTGTAACCAGAACCAGAACTAATATTTGAATTTTCTACTAAGTGTTTTTTTAAATAATGGATACAGGTACTGAGTGCAGGTAAAAATGCATTGAAAGAAGTGTTTTCTTTTAATATGAAAACTTGTCTTTAATTTCAACAAATTATTTGTAATATTATGCTTTGGCAATTAATCATCCAACTTAAAAAGAAAAGATTCAATGTCAGTCTTTAACGAGCGTTTTTGTCCTAAATCCTCAATAGGATACCTTGGTCCTGTCCCATCCCAATGATGTCATGGATACAACATTATTCAGATCGGTCATCTTTTTTTAGGCTATCACTTCAGACGGCTCCCGTGGGAGAAAATGCAGTTGCTTTAATTTTTGCTTTCGCCATTCTGTACATCATGCTTTCATTTCAAAATGAAATGCATTGAATTGAATTAAATTGAAACTTTAATTGGCAAAATAAAAAGAAGTCGGTATTAATAAAAGCATATTTTTAGTGGACGATTCTATTCGCTGTGTTTATTGCGACGCGGGACTAATAATCTCACAAGAACTTAACTGCGTAGCGAGCCCTCTAAGTTTGATTAATTCACCCGAATTATAAAAACGCGTTCCTTATTAAGTTTTTTCATAATCACAATTACTGTTGTTACGTGACACGTAATGTGTGTATATGAGACGCAACATCACGCAGTAAATCTAAAATTGGATAGTTCATTAGTGGTGAAGTGTATCTGTGTGAGGTCTGCACATATTAATGTGCGTGTGGCGCGTTGTCGTGTTACAAATCATCAAGTAGGCCTATCAGAGTTTTATGGAGAATTAGGCTTATGTCACAATCAACAATTGTCATTCTCATGATGAACTTATGTTTTAAGGCCAGGCACTCAATACGTCGTACAACGAATCCAATCCGCTCCTGTGCGCGCTAGGGGGCGCGACGCCGTCGGCTGATTGTCGACGGCAGTCTGAACGGATCGTCATTAAAATAACGATCCGTTGGGCTTGTTCATAGAATCGCGTCGGCCAACGACCGTCTGGCGCAATGAGTGCCCGGCTGGACCGTAAGTATTTTCTTGCAAATAATATTGTAACCGCGTTTACTAAAGTTAATGTCCAGAGTAGCACCTAAGACCACGCTACATGTATGTTTAGTTAAGCTAAAATCAATTCAGTTAACGCAAGTTTCTATTTTTCAGATGACGATTTATTCAAATGTTGTATACGGCAAAGTACAATTACCAATCACATGCATGAACTGATTTGGGATCTGATAAACCACGGATTGGTTATAATAGCCGGTATTACCGTATTGTTTACATGGGATTTCATGATGTATAATAATAATAATCCCTTTATCATCATTTTCATCATCATCATCATCATAATTTTCATCATCATCATCATCATACTTCTACACTTTTTGACATATGAGGTCAGCTTTACCCACTAGAACCACATCATCGTCATAATCATCATCATCGTCGTCGTTGACGTGTTCATCATCATCGCTTTTAATTATGTATGAACTTTTGTTTGAATTTAAAGATTAATTGATTGTTCAGCCTTTGTAACTTGTTTTTGTTCTCTTTAATTTAAAATGTGTTTTCCGCCTTGATAATAGTTGCAATTTCTACTAAGTGTTTTCGTCTTTTCCGATTAATTTGTCTGCAAATCCAATATGGATGTTTATGATCTTCCGCGTTCATGATTAGATGTTGCACTTTTCAGTAACTTTCTCCTCCCCTGACTGTCACTTTATGTCCTCTGCAGCCAGTAACCGGCGCACTTTCATCTGTCCACGACAGGGGCCGAGTAAACCAATACACCGGGGTATACCCCGGAAAGATGTACTGAGTTCTTTAAAGTGCACATGAGCATTTGTGTACACTGGGCCTACGGTTTATAGTCCTTTACCCGAGAAGACTTGTTCCACCACTCCACCAACTATAGGAGCCAACCCTGCCGATATTGTTGGCTATGATCACGGTGCCTCTGCCTTAACCGCTCGGCCATTTGGCTTGCTCGCACATCACTAAACAGATAAAACATAAAATAGTAATATTTAATAATGATGATGATGATAATGATAATGATGATGATGCAGGACAATGATTATAGGCCTAATGATAATGAAACAAAACACAAGATACACGATAAAGGATATTTTATTCAATATGTACAGCTTGGTTCACTTAAAATGTACGTCTTTTATGCTTATAATAAATTAAATATGTTATTTATAAACATAATAACATTAAACATATAGTAGTAGTAGCAGCAGCAGTACTACTTGAGTACCTACAGAACTATAGTAGTCTAGTTTATTGTGAATTAGAATGTATACGCATATAAATCATTGTGACAATCTAACAGGCTACTGCGGTAAACAAACCATAGAGTGGCTGAAACGTATACTGTACAGAATGAAATGGACATACTTGTTTATTATTCATAATACAACATCTAGTTCAGGTAAGATCTAGTTCAAGCAACAGTTAATTAATCTTTATTACGCACTGCACATCACTAAACAGATACAACATAAGTCCGAGTTATACTAAGCACCATTGTTTGGTTTTCAACTAAATCCAACCAAAGCCAATATTAAAAATAACTCTATTCAGGAATTATCATAATTTCATTGTTGATGACAAACATATCAATAAAACGAACCTTTGCATTAATCAGAATTAGGACAGGTTGCGGTTTTGTACTGCTGGAGTACGGAACACTCCTAATTAAGCATAAACCAAACTCTACTATTAGATCAGTACCACAGCAATGGACTTTTCCGCTAAGCCCCGCCCCTTGGATATTGTTGCTAAGGTCCCATGGAGGTATAATAATAATACTTCCATGGTTAAAACCATGGAGGTATTATTGAGAAGGAGATCACTCGACAAAGCTACGCGCACGCAGCGCTATGCAAATGAACCAAGATCAAAGTTGCCGCAGCGCGTAAAGAACGTTTGCGCGATGCCTTTGAAGTCCC